GTACGTCACCACTACGTCCCCCTCCCCTCCCTCCCCCCCCCCCCCCCCCTTCTGCCCCTAGCCCATGCCCAACCCACCCGCTGGCTACCTCTGCTCAATCGACCTTGCCGAGCTGGACTCAACATTGCCATGGCCACTCCCCTCCCCCACCCCCCCCCACCCCCCACACCCCCTTCCACTCACTCCCCAGAGGGCTTGAGAATGCTCGATAGTGGCTCGGCCTGTGGGACGGACGCTCAGCGGCGCTGCTGCGTCGCGGGCGAGCAGCTCGGACGATGAGACGTACGCCAAGTCGCACTTTATGCCGTCGTGGGGCAAGGGCACGATCGGGATCCATGCCGGCCAGGCACCGGACAAGGAGACCGGGGCCACGATTCCACCGCTGCACATGACGTCGACGTTTACGCAGCCGTCGCCGGGCGAGCCGATCTCGCATGAGTACTCGCGGACGTCGAACCCGACCAAGAACAACTTGGAGACGTGCTTGGCGGCACTGGATGGTGGCGCAGACGCCGGCGTGTTTGCGTCGGGCCTCGGGGCGACGACGGCGGTCCTGCACTCGCTGCGGCCGGGTGACACGGTTGTTGCCGGTCACGATCTGTACGGCGGCACGTACCGGCTGCTGACCACGATTTTTGCCGAGTGGGGCCTCAACGTCCTGTTCACCGCCGACGGTACGACCGAAGCGTACAAGGCCGCCATGGAGGAGGCCGGCGACTCGCTCAAGCTGGTGTGGGCCGAGACGCCGACGAACCCGATGCTGGACGTCGTCGACATTGCTGCTGTGGCTGCGGCGCGTGATGCCATTGCGCCGGGCGCCATGCTGGCGGTCGACAACACTTTTGCCACGCCCGTCCTGCAGTCGCCGCTTGCCCTCGGCGCCGACATGGTCGTCTATTCATCGACAAAGTACCTCGGCGGCCACTCGGACGTGGTCGGCGGCGCGCTGGTCGGCAAGACGCCCGAGGTTCTCGGCACCCACGCCGACAAGGGCCCGCGTTTCTACCAGAACGCGGCTGGTCCGCAGGCTTCGCCGTTTGACTCGTGGCTTGTCCAGCGCGGGCTCAAGACGCTCTCTGTCCGCATGGAGAAGCACTGCGACAATGCCGAGGCGCTGGCCAACGCGCTCGTCGACGAGCTCGGCGCCGACGCTGTTGTCTACCCGGGCCTTGCCTCGCACCCGGGCCATGAAGTTGCTGCCAAGCAGATGCGTCGCTTCGGCGGCATGGTCTCGCTCCGCCTCGGCTCTAAGGCCGAGGCCGTCAAGGTGGCCAAGGCCCTCAAGGTCTTCTCCATCGCCGAGTCGCTCGGTGGTGTCGAGTCGCTCCTCTGCCACCCGGCGTCCATGACCCATGGCTCCATCCCCAAGGAGATCCGCGAGGCCCGCGGCGTCAACGACGGCCTCCTCCGCTTCTCGGTCGGCATCGAGGAGACCGAGGACATCCTTGCTGATGTCATCGGCGCTGTCAAGTCGCTGTAAAGAAAGACGAGACTCGTCGCGTGTTATGGAAAGTCTGGTCGCGGCGCAGCCGGCCGTGCCGCACATGGCATCAGCGGCAGCCGCAAGCTGACAATCTCCGTCGGCTGGAGCGTCTGTCGGTAGTAGCGGAGAATGTCACAAAGCGCCGTGTCGATGACTGCCCGGGGTGGCGTGTACGGCTGGATGCGGAGCGGCGCAGTGTCACCACGCAGCGGGATGCAGAGCGTCGGCCGCGGCACCCGTGCACCGCACCACAGCCAGCGGAGGATGGACGGGTGATGAAGCTCCCAGTACGGCGTCCCGATGTCGCCGAGCGAGTACGTCTCCGAGTGCTTGGCGCGGTATGCCACGCGGAGCGTACCTAGCGCAGCCTCGGCCGAGACCGAGACCAGCGAGTGAGCCCATGAACGCGCATACATTGCATAGCCGGTGACAACCACGGCCAGCGAGCCGAGAATAGGGAGCAGGAACCCACCAGGCTGCTCATGCCGCGAGACCGCAAGGACCGCGAGCACTGCCGCAAGCGTCACCGCTACCGTCGCCACTGTCGCCACCGCTAACCGTGCCGATGGCGCCGTCGCCCGCGCATGTAGCTTGTGCGGTGTGTAGAGTGCAGCATCAAAGTTGTCATCAGGCGAGTCAGACCGATACCCTTCATCGGCAAACTGTACACGGGACGTTCCCCGCACTGCCGCTGTGAGTGGCGCCTTCCACAGCCCATACCCGGACCCCACCCACTCACCCAATCACCCACCACCCTTGACGTACATCTTCTGTGCCTGGCGGAGTGAACAACTCGGGCGGCTCTGCGTGGCGGGACATGAGGACGCCCACGACGGGCGAGGCCGAGTTGGCCGGCGACGGCGACGGCGACAGAAGCGACGGGCGGAGAGGTCTTGCGCTCCTCTCGTCTGCATACCGACTGCTTTGCGGCTGACGGTCGTACCTGCTCTCGCCGTTGTCGCAGTCGCTGCTGTGGTCGCCATCGTAGCCGTATCCGCTCCCTCGGTGGTGATGGTCAAAGACCTCGTCAGAGACGGCGGCTTCCATGCCGTCCATGCCCGCAGCGGTCGACCACCCACTGCCGACGGCCACCTCCATCCCTGCTTGGTCGGCCCAACCTTGCGAGTCTGAACCAGAGCCATTGTCCTCGCTACCGATGGCCATCAACAGTGCTCGTTCCGATGACATGGCTGCTGTGGGACCGAGGTCGTGCTGGTGCGGGCCACCTCGTAGTGCAGCTCAAGCCGTGTCGCGAGTCAAGTGCGGCGTCGTCCAAACTGGTGCGGAAGACAGGCGAGGTGCTCGCCATGCTGATCAAAGGCTTTACCGAGTGCATGCGCCATGCCTGCTGTGTTGCCAAGGGCTTAGATGAGGAACCGCTCATCAACCAGCGTCTTCTGGGTCAGGTTCTTGGCGCCCATCCAGCGACGGAGAACGCCAAGGCCGGCCTCGACGAGCCAGGTGACCAGGGCCGAGATAAAGGCGTTGTTGAAGATGACGTCGGTGATGGCGTAGACCATGATGTTGAGGAGGAGGAGTGAGAACTCGAGACCGTAAAAGGTGACGTTGGTAAACTTGGTGATGCCTGCCGGGTTGAGCACGCACGCGCCGTGGCCCATGTCCGGCGGGATGTGCAAGAGTTGCGAGAGCGCAGGGCGCGACTCGATGCGATAGCCCTCGTCGGCACCGGGTGATGCACCGTGGCGGTCGATAAACTGGGTGAGGAAGGTGTTGACTCGGGCGTAGGCAGCGAGCGTGGCGGCAGAAGGGCCAGAGACGCGAGCGGCAGAGCTGGGCGCGGCGGCGGCCTCGCCAAGACGCGAGCCACCACCTGCCACCATCCGAGCCTGCCGCCGCGAGCCCTGCCGTGAGCTTGGAGCCGACTTTGCGCACGGAATGAGCGAAAAGTTGTTGGTCACGTCGCCGTAGCACTCGTCAAAGGCGTCGCGGAACGGATGGGTGACAAAGATCTCAAAGGTCTGGCACTCGGAGTTCTCGCCGAGCCCACGCGGCGGTGCCATACCCTCCATCTCCTCGCGCAAGTTCTTGTTCATCTCCTGCATCGAGACATCGGTGTGCTGGTAGATGGACCGACCGTGGAGATAAAAGCCGGCGTACCGTTCGTAGAGGACAAAGACCGAGATGTTGGAGAGCGAGAGCAGGTCGACAAAGTCGACCATTGGGTTGTCGAAGAACCGGTCGAGGATGAGGAACTTGAACGCGATCTGCGCTCCACCCAGAAGGAGCCAGAGCGAGGCTGTCACCGCAAACCGGAGGATTACGTTGGGCGCCATCGGCGTGAGGTCGGTGAACGCAGGCTGCGGCGTGGCGAGGTACTCGAGGTTGAGCCCACGGAGGAGGAAGAGGAGCGCAAAGAGCGTGCCCTCGAGCGAGATGCGGCGCAGTGTCTGCAGTTCGTGCCACTCGTTGGCAATGAAAAAGGTGCGCCAGATGGAGATCGACGCCGGCTTGGCGTTGCGGATGTCGCCGTCTTTGGGCACAACCTGGCCCTTGGGCCGCTCCCAGTCCATGAGAAAGATGTCGACCGAGCTCTGCTTGTACGTTTGGTACAGGACGGCGAGCGCCTGGCAGGCAAACGCAGTTGCCAGCACGGCCACCATCTCGGTGTGAGCCGACGAGGTCGGGAGGAGGACGTGAACGGTTGCCTGCCACTTGAAAAAGATGAGCCAGTACAACGCGAGCGCATACACAAACCAAAAGAGCACAAAGCCGAGCGAGCTGAACAGGTAAGCGCACATCGGGCCGAGGAACTCGGTCCCCACCGCGCTCTGATTCCGCTGGATCCACGCGTACAGCCGGACGAGCCAGAAGAGGACCGCCACAAAGAGCATGACGCCAAACCCGATCGAGACCGACCGCCAAAAGTCGGTGAGGTCCATGGTGTAGACCGACTCAAACCTCACCTTCGGCCGCCCGTCGGCCTCGTCGAACTGGTCTTCCGGCGCGGCCACGCTGAGCGTCGAGCCCAGCCGCTCAGTGATGGAGAGGTCAATGAGCGGCGGTCGGATCCGGCCCTGCCCGACTTCCTGCAGCGTCACCATGATCCGCAGGCTCTGCGCCACCCGGACAACGTCGGGCGTCCCATCGGCAGACCGCTTTCCACTCACCACGTCGGTGAGGTAGAACCGGCGGGTGAGGACGTCGTTAAACTCGGACGAGTCGACGTTGACGTACTGCCCAGATCGCTTAAGGTTCGCCAGCCGGACCGGAACCGGCACAAAGCTTCCGTCGGCGTCGACAAGATACATGTCGTAGAATACAAGCTGCGACTCGGCAGCAGCGCCCGCAGCCTCGGCCTGCATAGGGTGCAGGTAGAGGACACACTCCTGATACAGATTCGTCCCGAACCGCCGCCACCGCGATGCAATCGACCGCCGCTCCTGACAGAGCTGCAGCTGGTCGCTCACGTCGCGGACAGATACAAGCGTGCCGTTGATCGAGTAGCCGGCAAGGACGTACCGCATGTTGTAGATGGCTGTCCCGGCATTCTCCTCGTCCTGCGAAAAGGTGAACCGCGCACTCACCGCAAATGACCGGAGCTCGGCAAAGGCCGAGCCGTACTCGAGCCACGGCATGTTCACCTTCCACTCGTCGTATCCGTTGACGTTGCCGGTCCGCTGGTTGGCCACACTGTTGAAGACCCGGCACGCCGCCGAGTCCTCGTCGTAGTTGGTGAGCACACACAGGTTGCCCAACGTCTGGCACGACGCCGCGTCGCCGCGAAGTGTGCACCACGACGCCGCCGCCGGAAAGTACTTGCCCATCAGCCACGACGAGAGCGAGACGGGTGCCCCAATGTCGCCGTCCCGGTTGCCGATCTCCGAGTACGTGATCCGCGCAGCCTGTGCTGCAGGGTACACGGTTGACAGCTCGGCGTACGCCGTCGCCGGCAAGCAGCCCGAGCCGTCTGGCCCAGCCACAAACACTGGCCCGGCGCACTCGCACTCCCCACTCGCCGCAGACCGGACCGCCCCCTCTTGTGGGCACGGCACACACTCGTACGGCGAGTTGGTAAAGTCAACAAACGACCCGGCCTCGCACATCACGCACTCCATCGTGCTCAGCGCCGCGCCGGTCACCGGATGCGTCTCTACAAGCACCGCGCCCGTTGGGCACACACACCTTCCGCTCGCCGCGTCGTAGGTCGCAAACGTACCGGCAGACGCCGTTGCCGTCGTGTTGCCCGTCCCACACAGCAGACACGCGCTCCCGTCCCTCACTGAGCTGCTTCCGACAGCGCACATGGTGCACTCGGTGAGCGCAAGCGTCGTCGGGTCTTTCACGTTCAGCCAGCCTGTCGGGCACACGCACCCGAGACCATCAGCGGCAGGCACGCTCCCGGGCACCTCGCAACTTCCGCAGCTGAGCGCCGATGGGAAGAAGGCCTCGCCGGCTGCGCAGCTGCTCCCGCCGCTCACGCCGGCAAAGCCTGCGCTCGCCACTCCGCCCAGCGCCAGTAGACACACCAACAGGCTCACCACCGCAACTCGCATGATTCTGTCACCCATGCACTTCCGTGGAGACAGAGTGAGAGCGGTGCGTTCGCCGGTGCGGGCAGGGTCGGTACCGCCGCCGTCGTCCGCACAGCCCACATCGCTGCCCGATTTGCCCTGTTCGCGCCAAAAGGTAGTCGCTTTTTGGCGCCAAAGCCGAACCACCTTTTGCTGGCCACCTCGGCCCTTTGCAACCGTCGAATGAAAGCAAAACTATGGCCCAAACAAGCTTTGAACACGCACTCCAACAGCCCCAGCCCCAGCCCCAGCCCCAGCCCCATACATGGCGCGCTGTCCAATACGCACATCCCCTCCCTTTCCCCTCCCTCCTCCCTCCCCCCCGCTCCTCCTCCTTGTCGCTCCCACCTCCCCCTTCCTCCCCACCTCCCTCTCCTTCTTCCTCCCCCCCCCCCCC